AAAAAAATAAAGCACCTTCGGGCTTACCTTTTGCAGTCGTCCGTCAGGTGCGGGGGCCGGGCACGAACCGATGACTCCCCGAGAATCACTCGGTGCCGGCGTGGAGTGGATCAGAACGCGAACCGCCCCAGGCACCTTCGGAGTCCTGCCGCGGTCGCCAGAAAACTTTTGCCCGATCCGAAGAAAACACAAACAACCGAAGTCGTTTATGCGGTGCTTTATTGAGGGCCCGGGAGCCTGTGGACTAGCGTCCAAAGACAGAGCCCCGTTTCACAGAAAAATCACAGGGTTTTTATATGTTTTCTACACGATTTCTTCATCATCACAATTTCTTACTTCTCTTTCACTACCTGGTACGATTATCTCTCTGACATTTAAGTTTTGCCAAAAGGTACATTCCTAGATTATCTCCTAGTTACACTGCTTACATTGCAATATCTGCTATATAGTTCATCTGCAGGTCACATGTGGCCTACCAAGCCTTAGCATAACTACTACTAATGTCAACTAATGCTAACTATTAACGTTTGTTACTATCTTAATAATACAGTTTATTGAACCAAATGGCAACACTGAGATCATGCAGAAACAGCCAGATTTTATTCTCAGGCACACCTTTTTTATAGGGCTTTCAAATTTCCCTTCTTAGAGTTGTGATTGGTTAAAGATCTAAACTTCGCCTAGCTCACTGGCCAATGACATGGGTGCATCTGAGCTTCAAAGGGATTGGCTGAGGTCCTCTGTTTGAACTTGAAATCAGCCTATCAATAACATGTCCCATGCTTGGGGACTTGTTTACTTCTAGTGAGCGAATGAGCTAGCTGGTCGAATAAGTGTCACGGCTAAATTATCTGTGCAGCCACAGACCAGCTATGGCTGTCACAGTCATGAAATTCAAGAAAACACTGGTACAGTTAATTATATTAGTGAGATGCATTTAATGATATAAGCAAGGATTTGTCAGCTCAAACGATGATTGATTCTGCAGAAGTTGTAAGCATGGAACTTCAAGATGTGGGCTTCCTTTGAAATAAGGGAGACAAGCATAAAAAAGCAAATTGCTCTTTTGTCCTGGTATTTAATCCATGTATCCTAACTCTTTTCAGTTGTTGGGTTTTTTCCCCCATCATTATAGAGTTTCTATAGTATGTTTTCTTAAGCCCTGTGTGAATTCTAGGCTAAGCTTTAAAAAAAAAAAATAGGGGAAAAAAAAAAGAGAAAAGAAAAGAAAGAAGAATGCTGTGTGGATGAACTTCCAGCAGTTCTAGCTGCAGATCTGTGCGATTGAGACCTTCATTATTTATTCCATTATCTCAAAATGAGGAAAAGAACAATGCAGCTTTCCATATTAGGAGCTTTCATATTTATTAAATTATATTCTTTACATTATGCAGAATTACTTTATTGCCTTGTATATCACAATTTAAGGCAAACCCAGGAAACTGTGTATTTAGTCCAGCTGCCATTTATTGATGTTTATTTTTTTAACATGATATTTTGTAAGCAGTCCAAGTTGTTTGCTCTTGATGAATTTCTGCAACTTGCATTCTTATTGCTGCACATCATCTCTTGGAAAAACACTGTTTTTGTGGACGTGTCTTTTCCAGGGATTCCATAGGATCTAGAGACATACCACAAATAGAAAACCTTTACTTATGTAATGCAGTCGTTTGTTGTATGGAGAAAACTTAAGTGAACCCTGAGAATAATATCCTCCTGAACTTTGTACCTGGAAAAGTGCATGTGATTATGTGTGGAAGTGTAGCAGTATTAGAAGTATAGTATGGTGTTAGAGCAGCAGCAGAAAGTAGGAAGTTCTGAGTTTTTCCCCACAGCCGTTTCTTGGTAAGGCTGGCAAATATTTTAAATGCAATGACTGTGCTAAATCAGCTCAACATATACCATTATTTTGAGATATCATCTCCTGGCTGATCATATCTGCTTCATTAATTACTTGAAGGATTGAAGGGTTTTTATTTATTTATTTGTTTGTTTGTTTGTTCATTTATTTATTTATTTTTCAGCAATTTGACTTCTTAATGTTATTATGTAGGTTAATGTATTTATTTCCTTCACAGGAACAGCATAGCAGCCTCAGCAGTTTGTGTTTTCAATTTGAGTGCCATAACTCAGACCTTTAATGGACCCTTCAAATACCAGGAGAATTCTCGCTCTGCTTGGCTTCCATATCCCAATCCTAACCCTAATTTTCAGGTATGGATACATGGGAGAAAATCAATATTTTATGTGAGCATTCCTCAAAGTACTGTATGGTTCATAAAGTATAAATCCAGTTTTGCACTGTTGTAGCCTAAGACCTTAAAAAAACACTGAAATAAAAAAAGTGCTTTGAAGACCCTCTTGTTTCAATGTATTTAATTTTAATTTATCCTTCCACAAAATAATTTGGATTGAAAAGCAGACGTACTTTGAAGGTTAGGAGTAAAAAGGCTTAACTTCAATCTTCTGTCAAAATAAAATATTATAGTTATCTGTCAAGGTGACATTAACTCCTGTCTGAAGTATGATCAAACTGCTATTATTTGTGTATTTGTGTTATTAGGACTTAAAAAATGGAATGGTGTCTGGCAGAAAAAAGAAAGTGAGAGGGTGGTAAAGGAGGAGTGGTCATAATTTTATTTATTTTCATGTGCAAGGTGGCCCATACTCCTTGAAGAGTCAGATTAAAAGAATCTGTGATATGTTCTGCCCCTCATTTGAATTTGTTGGCCTCAGAGGGAGCAATAATCTGCACCTGGCTGACAGTGTAAAACCAATTAGTCAAGGTGGGTCATTTAGAGGAACTCTACAAAAAGAAAGGGGTATTTCAGTACGCAGATATGCATTGTTTTCATCTTTTGCATAGTCACCACTCCTACTAGGACAATTTTAATGAGTGTGCTTCTTTCAAGAGAGATGGAAGAAAAAGCATCATTAATGTAGTGATTAACAACAATAGCTTTTCATCAAGATATTTAAGTGTAGTCACCTCTACCCACCTTTCACCCTCCCTTAATCTCAATGCAATTTCAGAAGTTCATGTCTGCTTCAGGAACAGCCTTCCCCAGCTTGTAAGAATCATAAGATCTATGCTAGCAGGAAAAAAATCACCCATTGGGGATTGTAGGTAATTTTAATTACTTCCTGATCTATGCAAATGAAGGAAAATAAGGCACAGGTTACAGGCTAGAGCCACATTACCTTTCCTAAGTAGTATGTTTGTCATCAGCCAAGTGACAAGATTCTAAGTACACCAGAAGCCTGCAGAAGAAGGCTGCATTTGTATACAGCTTTTCACCTGTTGTAGAAGTTCTTGTATTGTCAAAATAGTGATAGGAAGAGGGTCTAAGGCTAAATTTTTGGAGGAGAAAGCCTGAAAAAATGCTTTTATGTAAAATTTTTATCACCTTTCTGACAATGTACGCATATCTAATAAAACTTATTGAACTCTCCCTACAAACTTTGTATTAATGTGGTGTTAATTATTGTGAGAGCAGCCCCTACTGAATGGTACTTACAAAGAAAGATGGCAGCATGATAGCCGTGTAAAAGCAGTTTAAGTCTCTGCTGTACTTTTAGTGTATGTCTCCAAGTCCCAGTCAAGAGAGGTGCTGAAATTTTTTTTTTAGATACCTCGCTGATTGTAATACAGCTGGATACTTCATCTAATTTACAAGAACGGTGACTACAGTTGTATCATATCTCACTGAGCCACAAACAGCTTTGAAGGTAGAGCTGGGGTTAAAAGCTGTAATGTGGCCTTTTATAACACAATATTGAAGGCAATTGATGTTAACTGATCTTTAGGTATCTCTAATGATGTCCAGCTTCTCTTCTTTCGCCAATGCTGCTTTTTATTCCCTTGAATAACTTTCTGCTATGTATCTGGCTCCATAGCTGCAGCAGTGATGCTTACTAGAAGCTAGTCTAATGCTTAGAACTTTAACCATTTTCTGTAACTTGACTTTGTGACTTTGGAGTACACATCTCACATCTCAGTCATCTTAATTGACTGAGTCATTGGTTTCCTTCCAAGAAAGGACTTTTCTTTTGTAGAGTCCTTATGATAAAGGATAAGAAGTTCTGTTTGTTTAGTCCCAGAAGTAGATTTATCCTCTGAGTATTCACCTACTCTGTAGCAACAGAGAGACGTATGTGATTTGAATGAAGACTACTGCTGTGTAGATATAGTTACATCAGACCTTGTATTTCTGAGGCTAGATTGTATTAATGAAATATTTTCCATTTTAGAATACTACTGGAGTCCCAGTTTTGAGGAACGTTGTTTTCTTCTGAGATCATTACTTTTCTCTTTAGACAGGGCAATGTCTATCATAAGACCAAGGACCACTTGCACTTCAGTGTACTATGAGTATTGAGCTAGAATTTTTCCTACTTGATAGATCCAGACAACTTCTTGGGGGTGGTTTATTTTTTTCACTGGTCTGACATACAGGGCAAGTAACTGTTTCCTGCCAGTTGTTAATTTATCATTCTTCATCATCTGATCTCCCCATTATGAAATAATTTGTTTTTACTATTTTTAGCATTTGTGGATTTGGAAAAATTACTCAAATTTGGACTGAACACATGGTAATATTAAAAAAATAATTGGCATGGTTTTGCACACTATTATTTTGCTCATGCTGTAATTCATGGCATGATTTATGACATAGTAAAGCAGAATTTAAATGGTGACTTAGTTATGCCTTTCACATCACCCAAATATTTGATAAATGTTGTGAAGTAGTGCTTTACTTCTCTGATGCAACTATGTTTGAGTAAACATGTGAATGTATATATATTCCCATACATTAAGAAGCTTTCTCTTTTGTGTCCTCAACACGAATACGTTGAAATTAACTCCCACTTATTTTGCCTTGTTTAGTTGTGTTTGAAACTTTTTTATGCAGCTTGTGGATGTTCTCCTGTAAGAAAAGAACACAGTTTTCAGATTTAAAATATGGTCAGTTTTAAAGAAAAAAAAAAAGTCTTTGCAATGGATAATATTTCATAGAGCTCTGCACTGTCCATTTTTGCTACTTAAGACAGCGTCCTAAGAAGCTTCTAGAACTGCATGTTGTACTTTCACCTGGGATTCCTGTCAGAACCTGTCTGTATTAGGACTTGAGGTTTCCTTTGAAAATTTGTTAAGTCTTCAGCATTAAGGTCTTTGAAAATTATAAAGAAAACTAGTCAGAAAATCTGTTGCATATAGGTAATACCTTACAAAAAGAAAGGCCTTGTAAAAATATAGTTTAAGTCCCACTACTCTAGCTAAGCTAGCAGCTAGCTTCTAAGTTGCCATGTGAAAAAAATTATGAGAGTGAGAATCAGTTAGCACAACAATCTATTCTGGTAACAAAACCGTTCACACCTGCAAAAACAAGAAATCTATCCCATGGGAGTCAGTGAGCAAAATATGTAAACTATCGAGGAATAGAGAGATGTGATGGACATGTAAAATGCCATTTACTAACCAATGAATTGAGTGGCAAGAAAGTTATAAGCCAATTAGTGTAAAATGCGAGGTCTTCGAAAACTGTATAAAAATGGGCTGTAGCATTAAAGATTGGCTTTTCTGCATGAAGAAACTGAGTCCCGTCTGCTTGTATTACGACAAAAATAATTTGGTTTTCTGAATGGTAGTTTTTCTCCTTCCTGCCCTGTGAACATAGGATACAGCAAAATATTTCCATAATCCACTTGTGCTGGTCAGTCTGGTGCTCTTCCATATTGTTATTTAGAATTATTCTTTTTATTGTTATTATATATATTATATATATATGTATATATAGTTATTTTTACTTAAAATTAGGGAGCCTCCATAGTAGTGTCTTAGGAAAACTGAGCTTCCTGAGTCCTTGGACAGTCTGGGTAGCACCAAAATGGGACCTGAAAGTTGAATTTTACATTGTCATTACAAGATATGATCTTGCTTTTATTTTCTTGTGCTATAAATCAGAGAGTAAATCCATTGTTATTGTTGGCACATATAGTCATGCTACATTTCTGTTTTTACAGTGTGGCACCATGGACCAGGGTTTGTATGTAAATCTGACTGAGAGAAATCTTCAAGATGCACAAAAATTCTTCTTAATGCATGAGGTTATTCAACCAGTTATACCAATTCCTTACTTCATGGAAGACAACAGCCGATTTTCCCATGTGGTTGTGGATGTTGTGCAGGGGAAGGACATGCTTTTCCATATCATCTATCTTGCCACAGGTATGAAATTTCATTGCTGTGGTAACTGCAAAAGTTTATGAGTTCTTTGAGTTTTAGTGTTCTGTTAATTACTGTCGCTCTATTAGGAACAGCGAGAAGAATGACACAGACTCTCTAGGGAGTCGATCAGGAGAATTTCTCTCGGTTTATTGCTTTAGATCTTTTTTATAGACTGATACATGAAAAGTACAGAAAAGAAACTCTTATTGGCTAGTAAACTAACACATCACCATCATAGGTCAGTGGGATACACCACCCCTCGACCTTCTCTTGCAAGAAAGCAAGGAACAGACAAACAGCACCTGCAAGGCTGTTTTCTGTCTCTGAGGATTGTTTTAATTCCTCCCCATGATTTCCCAGGCCACTTTCTCAGGCAAGACTGAGAAATCTATGCGGCCTGCAATTTCCACAGGCACCGTGCTCTCTGTTTCACAGTTAGCATCCATAAATTACTTGTGAAATATATGTGCAGCACCTTGAATATCAGCTTTTCCTCTTTGACACAGTCACCTGTCTATCTTTTATATTTTCTGAGTAGATTAATTTAGCCATGACAATATGTTTTATGTTATTTTGTGAACTCCAGTTTTGGTGTCTGTTTCCTATTCTCCTTTGAAGCTGTGAAGTTTGTGTGGTCTTGAAGTAATCAAACATTGGAAATTTTACAAATGAGACTTTTCACTATCTTTTGTTCTTTTTACTTAGTTAAGGGTACAAACTTAAAATCCCAAGATAAAATTGTTTAGGACCCTCTGATAAAAATGTAACTTCATAAATAACAAATACAGATAATGCTATTTATATTTCTGAATTTTTTAACATGTGTATTTTATTAACTTTCCTTTTCATCTCATTTTTGAGATGTTCATTGTGTTGTGTTATACCCTGTCTTATTATTTGCCCATTTATATGTAAGCATAGCAGTGAAAGAAAAACAACCCTCCACCTTATATTGCTTTGGTTACAGCCATTGCCTTCTTGGTTCAAAATTTCAATCTTCTTAAAAATAACGAGGGTATTGGAGAACTGCTTTTGCAGAACAAGGATGTCCCCAGCTGAGACTGAAATACTAGATTGGACTACTATGTTCAAAGCTTCATGGTATAAAACTTAGGATAGTTTTTAAATACTTGGGCCTATGCACATTGATAGGGACTAGCTCGTCTAAGCAAAGGTTTGTTAATTTTCAGTTTGTCTCATTGTGCTCCTCAAAAGCTGGGCAGTAGCAGAAAAGCTTTTGATAGGTTAAAATGATGCTTGGATTTGACCAGTTCTAGTCAAAACAGTCTGGTGGTTGGTAAATCAGTTCATTTGAAGTTAAATCATGTCAATACTAAGTGGTGTTTGTATTGTACAGGCCTCCTGATATTTGCATTTCAGGCCAAACCTGAATTAAAGAATCATGCACTGATTTGGTTTTATATGAAGAGACTATCACTGCATTGTGGGACATTTACATTATTTACAGTCTTTGAAGCATCAAGAATAATGACTTTTTTCATAGTTCTGATTGTCTTCAGGTTTCAGTTTCCGTTGGTTGTGTTACATTTTACATTTGAGTCAGTAAATGAGGATCTAAAATTTTATGCTTCATGGCTCATTAATAAATTGTGTTCTGGAGTGATTCAGTGTTCTTTACATGCTGCTAAAAATATATATATTGCTCCTATGCTCTTTGTGATGTATGCTTGCCTTTCACTTTCATTCTTCTCTGTACATCTGGTTTTGACCATTCATGGAAGCAGGGAACTTATATTAGCTGGAGCTTTAGTCTAAATTCATCTCATGATTTCCTGTAACTGGACAGTATGTGTTTTATAAGTGTGAGAAAGCATATGATAAAGCCCCCCCCATTCTATTCTTGCAATTTTCTTGATGTAGTCAATTCTATTTCACATGTATTTCACTGAATCACAGTGGATTTTGTTAACATTTCTTCTATCCCAATTGAGTGTAAGTGTTAAGACTTATTTTCTAAGAAATATTAATACTCACTTTTGGTAGAATTTGAAATTATCACACTTTTATATACAAATATCACAGGTAGAGTGTATAAGCATAGTTTGAAAATTTGAACAATTTTTTAAAAAATACAAAATTACACTGTAATTTATTTATATATTAAAATTGTAGGAGAAAGGTGGTACTTTGGCTTCTTTGGGGTGCAGATCATAATTTTAATTTCATTATATTGTTGATATTGTGGCATCTTATTTCTCCTAAGCCCTGCATCTTATTTCTCCTGAGCCTTTGCTTACGTAGAAACTGTGGAGTAGTTAGCAGTGAGTTTTCGTCATAAAGTGAATATGGTAAAAGATTACTGAGAAAAATGCCACTACTTCTGTACACAGAAGTAACTAAACTAACAGAAACTAAAAGGCAGCAGCCTTAACTTTGAAAATAAACAATAGTTTTGAAAACAACCCAAGTTTAAGGCTTTTGAATTTCTACAGTGTCCAGCTTTACTCCCACATAAAATGTCCTCTACCCCAAGCTCCTAACACCATAGAGCAGGTGTATATTTGGGAGAGATGAAAGACCGGGCTGACAGTTACTACCAGTCTGAGAAATGTTGTTATATCTTTCCTGATTTAATTTATTTGCATTATTAAAAGTTGTGGTAAATTAAATTTGGAATTGAATTTTTACCACAATGCTCCATCTTCAAAAAAGAGACTAAGGAATAAAAGCTGACAAGCAGAAAAGGCCCTGGGGATGCTGGCCAATAGCAACAAAACATGAGCCAGAGTGTGCCCAGGTGGCCAAGAAGGCCAAGGGCATCCTGGCCTGTATCAGCAATGGTGTGGCCAGCAGGACCAGGGTGTGATCTTCATCCTGTACTCAACCATTGGTGTGGCTGCACCTTGAAACCTGTGTTCAGGCCCTCCAATACATTCAGGTGCTGAGGGTGGCCATCGAAGGGACACATAGCTGGTGAAGGGTCTTGTGAGGAGTGGCTGGGGGAGCTGGGATCATTTAACCTGAAGAAGAGGAGGCTCGGGGGAACATTATCACTCTCTACAACGGCCTGAAAAGAGGTTGTAGCCAGGTCAGGGTCAGTCTCTTCTCACAAGTAACAAGCAATAGGACCAGAGGAAATGTCCTCCAGTTTTGCCAGAGGAGATTTAGATTTGATACTAGGATGAATTTCTTCATTGAAATAGTATTCAGGCATTAGAACAGGCTGCTTGGGGAAGTGGTGGACTCAGCATCCCGGGAAGTATTTGAAAGACATGTAGATGTGGGACTTAGGGACATGGTTTAGTGGTGGATTCATCAGTTCTGGATTAACAATCAGACTTGATGATCTTAAAGGTCTTTTCAAAGCTAAACAGTCTATGATTCCATCACCTGGGGAGCAACAGTCTAGTGGACATTCCATCCCTGGGAAAGTCAAGGAGCACACCTCCTTGGAGCACACTTCTCTGGGCACATGATGGAGAAAAAGGTGATTTGGAGCATTCAGCATGGATTACTCAAGGATTAAGCTCATCTGAAAATGTAATTACTTTCTGTATTAAAATGACTGGATTTGTGCATGAGGAGAAAATAGTACCTCAATTTTAGCAAGACTTTTGACACTGTCTCTCTCATTATTCATATATCCAAATTAGGATATAGGGTCCATATGGGTGGGCAGCTGGATCTATAAAACCTGCTAGGATGTCAGGCTCAGAGGGTAGTTTTAATGATGTATAGAAATAGTGATGTATAGAAATGATAAGGATAATGTATAGTGATGTATAGAAATGATAAGGATCCAAGTACTGTCCTATTCAACTTTTTTTTGTCATCCTGAGACTTAAAGCCTTCCGATAATGTTTTCATGTTTATAGAACTTTCATGGGAAAGCAACTAAAACTAGGAAAATATTAACAGAAATCTTTAAGTCTCAGGGTGACATCTCACCCTTTCTTCTTAAAAAAATAAAAGAAAAATTACCAATATTCTAAACAATCAGAAAGGAAAATAAACAATGTTCTAAACAATCAGAAGGCTTTAATTTCAGGGTGATATCTCACCCTTTCTCCATTACAAAAAAACAAAACCAAAAACTTTTTCAGTGTCTGCTTGTGGAGGAGCCATCGGGGTGATCACTCACGTCTGCATCTGAGTCATCATCCGATGGCATCCATTTGATGACTTTCAATTTGGTCACAGATTCTGCCTATGTGGCCGACATAGCCCAGCAGTTGGGTCATTCAGTTTTGAAGGAAATCAGTAATCCTGACTTGTTTCATTTACTGAAGACCTTGTGGTATGCCATTCAGGCCCAGGTGCATCCGTACTATGTTCTGTATGTGAGCAGTCATACCAATTTGCCAGGGTTCATTGCAGAAGGTAAGGTGTGGGCTGACAAGTTGGCTAACCCAGAGTGGGTTGCGACTCAGGCTACTATGCTTGCACAGGCCAAGGCATCGCATCGGTTTTTCCACCAGAATGCATATACTTTTTCAGAAGCAGTTTCAGTTGACATCAGCTGAGGCCCATGACGTTGTCAAGTCTTGTGATGATTGTAATGCACTTGCTGTGCCTTTGCTGGCATGGGTAAACCCCAGAGGCCTTAGGGCCTTGGAGCTTTGGTAGACAGATGTCGCCCAAGTTGCCAAGTTCGGCCAGCTCCGGTATGTGCATGTCAGTGTGGACACTTTCTGCTCTGCAATGTGGGCTTCTGCTCACACAGGAGAAAAGACCTGCGATGTAATTGCCCACTGAAGGCAGGCCTTTGCCGTCTTAGGCATACCTTCTGCTGTGAAGACCAATAATGGTCCTGCTTACACCTCTCAGAAGGTGCAGCAGTTCCTGCAGCTGTGGGGTGTGTCACACAAGTTTGGTATCCCTCATTCTCTGACAGATCAAGCTATTGTAGAATGTCATACTATTGGGAATGGCTAGGAGCATGACACGGACTCTCTTGTGAGTTGAACAGGAGAGCGAGGTTTATTACCTCAGATCTTCTTTTATAGACCGATACGAGAAAGTACAGAAAGGTAAAACTC